TGAGTGGGCTCAGGCAGAAGCTCAGGTGTTGGCCTTGGGACAGGCAAGCTGGAGAGAAGGAAAGTAACATGCCCTGAACTACTGTAAGCAAATGCACTTTGTATTTCATCTGCTTTTACCCTAACAGCATTTAACCAGTCATTCTGATAATTATTCAAATCAGGAAACTAAGCTTAAGGAGAGTTTATGTAATTCAGAGAGAAAACTTTTTAATCTCCTGATCAGCAGCTAACTTTGGAATTACTTAAGGTTTTTTTTTCGGTTGTTATTTTCATTTTGTCTTTATGCCTCCAGAACTCTGAGTGCTCTAATCTCCTTCAACGCTGGCAGTATCTGCTCCACAGGTGGTTTTTAATGCTTTTTTCTTTTTAAATATGACCTCTATAATGTTTAGGTCCCATTAATAAAATTTAAAACACTTTCCAAAGGAAAAAAAAAAAAACACTAAAGATTGTATTAAAACAAAGGAGAAAACATTTGTAAACTACATCTCAGATACTGGGTTAGTAGCCATGATTTGTGAAACATACTTGGTAACAAAACAATTGGCAATGATTTCAACAGAAAATTTAAATAAGTATATACATGAATAATAAACATTTAAAAATACAAAAACCTGCAGCCATAAAAAGGAATGAGATTATGTCCTTTGCAGGAACATGGATGAAGCTGGAAGCCATCATCCTCAGCAAACTAACACAGGAACAGGAAACCAAACACCACATGTTCTCACTCATAAGTGGGAGCTGAACACTGAGAACACATGGACAGAGAGAGGAACATCACACACCAGGGCTTGTTGGGGGTGGGGGTAAGGGGAGGGAACTTAGAGGACGGGTCAATAGGTGCAGCAAACCACCGTGGCACACGTATATCTATGTAACAAACCTGCACGTTCTGCACATGTATCCCATTTTTTTAGAAGAAATAAAATAAATACAAAAACCACAAGAACTAACAAGACACAAATGATTTTAAATCCTGAGAATTTATAATGACAAGATGCAAAAAATGAGGACTATGATTGTACTTTTGGAGAAGACTGTGTGTGAAGGTGAATGTGTTGATGTGCACCTCACCTACAGGGGCACTTCTGGAGAATGTGCACTATTCTAGGGACAACAGACCCCTTGGGGTCAAGGGGTGGGAGTTGGGCCAGTGAGAGGTGCAGTTTAAATTGGATTTGTGAATATACTCTTATATAGTTTTTGAAGTTTCATATTTGAGAATAAAAGTATTTTAGTGAATATTTGAATGCACAGTTTTTAAAAATTTAACTGGCAAGTAAAGAATTGGCAATGATCTATTCATTTGTCGTAAAATATGTTGGATTATGTTTTAATTAGATCTGTTTGGATTTAAATTTTATGCCCCAAGGACTTAAAACATATATATATATATATTTAAAAAGCATGTCAGTTTTTTAAAACCTTTGTTGAAAAGGACAAAGTTCAAACATTTTATTACAAACTAAGATTAAAATATAAAGCTATTATAATTAATAATGAACACTGGAAACTCAGAAGGTGGAGGTGGGAGTAAGGGAGGGAAGGGAGTAAGGGATGAAAAATCACCTACTGGGTACAATGTAAACTATTTTGGGTGAAGGGTACACTGAAAGTCCAGACTTCACCACTGTACAATTGATCCTTATAACCAAAACCACTTGTACTCCTGAAGCTATTCAAAGAAAAAAAATTAAAAATTGAGATCTAAAAAAACAAGCTATTGTAATTAAGAGAATGTAGAATTGGTGTAAGGATAGAAAAAAACAGGCCAATGGACTTAATAGAGTCAAGAAATAGACCCAATCCATATGTGGTCATTTTCACTTATGACACAGGTGACAGTGCAGTGAAAGGAGAAGGATGATATTTTAAGTATGCTAGCTGAATTAGATACGTACAAAAATTGATTTCAGGTAGATTGTCAGTCTAAATGCAAAAGTAAAAGAATAACCTATAACAATGTAGGAAAATATTTTTATGTAGTTGGGGTGGCAAATATTTCTTAATCACTAGACAAAAAAACTGTTAATCCCAAAGGAAAAAAAATAATAAATTGAGCTACATTATAATTAAAGACTCTGTCTTTCAAAACATACTCTTAAGAAAGAAAATATTGAAATACAGAGTGAAAGATTTTATATATACAGTGATTTGATTTTTTGGAAACAAGGAGAAAAGTAGAAAATGAGCAAAAGAAGTAAACAGGCACTTTACAATATAAGAATCCCATACAACAACTGCATGTATAAAAAGGTGCTTAACGTTTTTAGTTTTTAGGACAATGCAAATTAAACTTGTCATGAGATACTACAGTAACCCCATGAACTGAAAAAAAAAGAATAAGGGGCAAGTAGAACCATTATGTACTATTACTGAAAGTAAATTGGTGAAAACACCTTGGGAAATCATTTGGCAATATCTACTAAAGCTAACTACATGCATACCTATGAGCCAGCAATTCCAATCTTTGATATACTCAACAGAATCATGTACATATATCCACTAAAGACAGCCACAAATCTGTATGTAGTAGTACTATAATATTAGTCAAACTGTGGGCATAACCCAAATATCATCCAACAGAAAACTTGTAGTATTCATAAAATGAAATACTGTACCACAATTAGAATGCTCATTTTAATGTTGCCATATGCAAAATCATGGATATATCTCACAAGGATAATATTAAGCAAAAGAAAGCAGAAACAAAAAAGTATAATTTCAGGTATATAAAATATGAAAAGTTCATAAACAGGCAAATCTCTAGTGTTAGAAGTTAGTGTAGTTTACTTTTGGGGGAATAATGACTTGTAAGGTCATAAAGGAAGCTCCTGAAGTGAAGATAATGTTCTATTTCTTTCCCTTTTTTACTAATAAATTCTGCTTTTATTATTAAAAGGAGTTCTTGTAAGCATAAGTGTCTCTTCAATGATATAAAATTTCCCCTTCTTTAAGATTAAATATAAAACATTAATTAAAATATTCAAGGCAATAAAGTTAAATTCTAATGCCTGGCTGGGTGCAGTGGCTCACACCTGGAATCCCAGCACTTTGGGAGGCTGAGGTGGGTGGATCACATGAGGCCAGGAGTTCAAGACCAGCCTGGCCAACATGGTGAAACCCCATCTCTACTAAAAATACAGTAATTAGCCGGGTGTGGTGGCGCATGCCTATAATCCCAGGTACTCAGTACGCTGAGGCACGAGAATCGCTTGAACCTGGGAGGTGGAGGTTGCAGTGAGCTGAGATTGCACCACTGCACTCTAGCCTGGACGTCACATCGAGACTCTGTCCAAAAAAAAGAAAAAAAGAAAAAGAAAAAAATTCTGATGCCTTTCTGTAGTCAATGAAATGGACCTGAAAGAAAGAGCCATAGTGAATTTTAAAAATGTACCCAAACTTTGAAAAAATGTTGCTGTTTTCCAAAAAATAAGTTAGTTGAGATGTTTCTTCATTATAGGAGGCAGAATGTTCTTCTCTTTTAAATTTCAGTTTTTGTTTTAGATCCAGGGGGTACACGTGCAGGTTTGTTACATAGGTATATTGTGGGATGCTAAGGTTTGGGATATGAATGATCTCATCACCTAGGTAGTGAGCATAGTACCCAATAGTTTTTCAACCTTTGCCCCACCTCTCCCCCCTCCTCCAGTAGTCCCCAGGGCTTGTTGTTGCTATCTTTATGTCCATGAGTCCCCAGTGTTTAGTTTCCACTTATAAGTGAGAACATGTGGTATTTGGTTGTCTGTTCCCATGTTAATTCACTTAGGACAATGGCCTCCAGATGCATCTATGTTGCTACAAGGGACATGATTTTTTTTTTTTTTTTTATGGCTGTGATAAAATACTTTTGAACAGATTGTCAAAGGTACTGTGTATATGTTTATTAATTTGAAAAAACATTCATTGTATTCTATTTTATGGTGAAAACAGAAAATAAAAGAATTTAATCGACAGGGTATTTGCGTGTGTGTGTGTGTGTGTGTGCACATTTGTGTGTGTGTCTAGGTCTAGCTGTATCACTTCAAATACACACTCACAGATGCAGTTTTATCTTTAATTCAGACAGGGGCTGGAACCAATCTCAGTTTCATATATGCCAGAACATGACTGATACACGGAGATTGCTATCGTTAGATGAATAATTCCAGAAAACTCTGGCTGATATCTTTGTAGCTCACCTCCAACATCCCTCTCCCTTTCCCTGGGCCCCTTGTCTGAGACTTTCAAAGCTGTGATCCGGGTTCTGGCCATCAGGAGGCATCACAGCTATCTCCATTTTTTTTTTTTTTTTTTTTTTAATGAGGACATTTTGCAAAGAGTGACAAACTATGATGCCAGTTCTGTTTGAAAAATATATGTGTATTAAAGCTGGTCCATTGGCTGTGGACTCCAAATCCACATGGCATTCACTGATTTATCTCTTCCCTCCTCAGTATACGTTGTCCCGTGCACACTATAGAGAGGTCCCTCACAGAGAGTGGGGCATTTAGCCTCCATTGCCCCTGTATAGGCTTCCCAGACCTCCTCCCATTCCCTTTCAGTCCTCCCTTCTCTAGGATCCTATGGACACAGTTGCCCAGACCCTGCTCCTGTGACCTCTATCCTCTCTGTCACCTTTCTTCAGCCCTGTAAGTGCTACTTGGTGTTTCATGCCCTGGAGCATATGTTTTTATAGTCTTGTTTTACATCTATCATTTTTTTCTTTCTAACATGGGAAGTGGATTTGGGTCTGCTCAGAGGCATGATGTTGAACAGCTTTTATTAGATTATGAAACATCCAAGAATGTAGAGAACATTCTGTCTCTAAAACTTTGAACTCAAGGCATATCAGAGAGAGATTTGCTTTCTTTATATGGATGTCTGTGTTCTCATTAGTAGAAACAGTGAAAAATGACTTTTCACAATGCCTTAGCCCAGAGGCTCGGTCAGCCCCCACTTCTGTGTCTCAGCATTTAAAGGGCCATTGAAGTCTCACTTCATGCCATATACTCTCAACAGGTTTTCTCATTTGCTCCTTGGGACAGCTCTGTAAGGATGATACAGTCCGTTCTATCTCACAGATAATCAAGCTCAGGCTTTCACAGCCTAAGTCACCTTCCCAGGTAAGTGGCAGGATTGGAATGAGGTTTCATCCCTCACCCTCCCTAAACGACCCCAAGCACCCCCTTTTAGAAGATGGGCTTCCAGGGCTTGAAAAATGGTCAGATTCCACTCCCCTGCTATTGTGGCCCCAAGGGTCCCCCACTCCACAACCCCTCTGGGTGATGAGGAAGACAGAGGAGGTGAAATCCTGCACTTTATGCCAAGAGACTGGGTATAGGACCGCATGAGTTGGCTGATCCCTTAAGTGGTGAGTGGGCTTAAGCAGAAGCTTAGGTGTTGGCCTTGCGACGGGTGAGCTGAAGAGAAAGAAAGTAACCTGCACTGAACTACTTTAAGCAAATACACTCTATATTTCATCTCCTTTATCCTAACGGCTGTTCAAGGTACCAATGATTATGATCATTATTCCAATCAGGGTGCTGTCTTTAAGGAAGTTTATGTAAATCAGGGAGACAACTTTATTATCTCCTTATTGTCAGCTAACTCTGGAATTAATCTAAAGGCTTTTTTTTTTTTCTCTATTTGCCCTGAAGCCCACAGAGAAATAGAAATGTTTTTCTTATCCTTTATTCACATGTTTGTCCTGTATTGATGAGTATTTAGAATGTTTCTCATTTTTTCCTTTTTAAAAATGTTTCAGCAATGCTATTTCAAATAACCACTTACCTGGCTATTTTGGACATGTGAACACTTTTTCCTCCATTACATGTGTAAACATCTATCCCTTGGGGCTTGATTTCAATAATTTAAACTTCCTTATATGTGTCTGAGCATTCTCATTTCTTTAACCATCTTTGTACCTGTTGTTACAATATTTAAATGTATTTATAACTGATAAGTGTGTTTCCATTTCCTTGATGTATTTGGTCCCTCATCCCGCCCCCATACCCAGACACACACAGAACCACTTTTTACCTTTTCGTTTTTCAAATTTTTAAAAAATTCTTTTTTGCTTTTTTTCCCACATTTAAATTTTGTCAGATGATAGGTGATAAAAGGATATTTAGATGGTTTCATTTGCATTCCTTAATGTATTAGTGAGCTAGAATGCTTTTTCTTGTGATTACTGGCCATTTGCGTTTCTTTGCCTGTGAACCATTTACATATTTTGTCAGTTTTGCTGTTTTGTTATAGGAGCTGTACATGTGTTAAACCTAAAACCCTTCACTGATGGATGCATGCGTTATTTCAACACATCTTTGTTGGGTGAATATTATTTATGAGACACTCTAGCAAAATCTATGTCCTAGATGTCTCTTCTGAGATCTTGGCTCTTATATTTATGGGAGATGTCCACCTGCAGCAAGAAAAGTATTAGTGCCCACGCAAACATGCGTGGCTTGTCAAGGATCACATGCACAGACAGTTCACACTTACTCCTAAACCCTGCATGGCCACAGAGTAAAAAGGATGTGTGGTGCATTATATGAGGAGAGCCCTGGCTCAGGATTGTGATTTCTGTGATCTCTATAATAATGGCAATATTTTTTTAAATTACATAACATTTCTGAGTTTGCCTTTTCTGATTTGTAAAATGGAAACAATCATAGCTAACAAAGACAGCTGTTCTGAAAGCAAAAGAACAAAATATTTTAAGTGTCATACACAGTGTAGGGTACATACGGTACTCAACACATCTTAGTCCCTTTCCTATCCCATACCCATCCTTCCGTTAAAGGAGATTCCTTTGACATAATCCAAAAGGCATGGTTCCATAATGATCATATGAAAATTTTAAGGGAAATGTATAGGTTTCCATGATTAATTAACTGCTGTGTCACTACTCTGTGCTGGGTAAGGAAAAGGAAAACAATCACTGAACCAGTTTCCTGGGTTTGTAAAAGAAGTCCATCAAAGCCACCACCTCATTTCGCTTTATTTCATAGACTTCCCCATCTCATTTTTTATGTTCTATGTTAATTTCTCAAGAAAAACAGGCCCGGCATTACCTCTGCGCACAACCCTGTGGGCCTGGCTCAGGCGGGAGTGCGGGGCCAGCAACATGAGCACCCTGGACAGCCCCGACCAGGCCTATGACTTCCTGCTCAAGTTCCTGCTGGTGGGCGACAGCGACGTAGGCAAGAGTGAGATCCTGGAGAGCCTGCAGGATGGCGCGGCCGAGTCCCCATACAGTCACCTGAGGGGGATCGACTACAAGACGACCACCATCGTGCTGGACGGTCAGCGGGTGAAGCTGAAGCTCTGGGATACGTCGGGGCAGGGAAGATTTTGTACCATATTCCGCTCCTACTCTCGTGGTGCACAAGGAGTGATCCTGGTCTACGACATTGCAAACCGCTGGTCTTTCGAGGGTATGGATCGATGGATTAAGAAGATCGATGAGCATGCCCCTGGTGTCCCTAAAATCCTGGTGGGGAATCGCCTACATCTGGCATTCAAGAGGCAGGTGCCCAGGGAGCAGGCCCAGGCCTACGCTGAGCGCCTGGGCATAACCTTCTTTGAGGTCAGCCCTCTGTGCAATTTCAACATCATAGAGTCTTTCACGGAGCTGGCCAGGATCGTGCTGCTGCGGCACAGGATGAATTGTTTCGGGAGGCCGAGCAAGGTACTGAGCTTGCAAGACCTCTGCTGCCGCACCATCGTGTCCTGCACACCCCTATACCTGGTGGACAAGCTCCCGCTCCCCATTGCCTTAAGAAGCCACCTCAAGTCCTTCTCCATGGCTAAGGGCCTGAATGCCAGGATGATGCAAGGCCTCTCCTACTCCCTCACCACCAGCTCCACCCACAAAAGGAGCAGCCTCTGCAAAGTGGAGATTGTCTGCCCACCCCAGAGCCCACCCAAAAACTGCACCAGAAACAACTGCAAAATTTCTTAAGGAAGGCACCAAAAGGAAACAAGCTGGAATCGCTCCAGGAAGAACTCTGGTTACACCTGGAAGACGGAAGTCGGAAGTCGCATTCTAGATTCAAGAAATTAGTTTTCAGTTTCTCAAGGGAATCATGCTGCTTGGGAATGGTGTGATGCCTTCTGTCAATAAAAACACATTACGCAGTTTGACTTTGAATTTCTATGTGGATGTGCATGAAGCTCTCGTTTTAGACGTGTGTTTATAAACGGGAAATTAGTACTCTGCTCAACTCTTGGTAACATGAAATTTTGAATGTTACTTATATCATAATCACACTGCAACTTTTTCCTTAAAATTACTGCCTTTGTAAGAATGGTGATATGGCAGTGATGAGTATAAATTCAAGTAAATTTGAGAATCAATGATAGTGAGATAATTTAGTCATTGATATTACAAAAGGGGCCTTTTTGTAAACCTCCATTTAAAGTCAAAGCACCAATTTATAAAACACTGCAGATGCATATAGAGATTTTATATAACAGATATGTCCAGTTTGTGCATGAAATGGATTTGATAAAGTTTTTGCTATGTTATTTTACTACATTTGAGGATTAATTCGTGATTTATATGTATGTTTTTCTATAAATCTACTTTTTTTGTACAAGATGTTCTACAAGATATGAAGCTAAGGGAGGAAAACGCCAAAGATATCTCTAGTTATGTTGAACATAGCCAACATGGTTTCAATGGATCAGCAAGAAAAAATCATTTCAGTAAGGAATGAAATAAGTACTTATTTGAGAAAACGTTTCTTAACAATAAAAAGGTATATATTTTTCTCTTTTGGTAAAAAGAAAAGAAAAAGAAAAATATACATAATGTAACCCCGCAAGATGAGGCTTTGCAGAAAAACATTGCAATAGAACATGGCGGGGCAGGCCCATTATAAGACTTTAGGTGAGTCATTTCCCCTGTACTGGCCAGTTTTGGTTAACAAATCTCAGATCAATATAGAGGTTAATGAGATCACATCTGGGAAAGCACTTCTGAGACCTTAGATGGGAAGGAAGAAGAACTGATTTCCACGTAGTTACTTTCCAATTTACATTGTGAATATTATAATAATCTATATTGGATGAACTGAGTAAATATAAGTCCTTGCACTCTTGTAACTGAATGACTATTTATTTGTGCATTGTCATAGGGTGATTATAACATAAAGTACCGCAGAAGAGCAGTATCTCTGGCCTCAGGAAGCCTTGGGGACTCACCCTTCCTGAACGCTGGCACTTTTCTGTCTCATGAATTTCCCACAACATTCCTGGGAGGTAGAGGATATAATCTCTACACCATCCTGTAGCTGAAGAAACAGTGATGTTTGCAGGTTAAGCAGCCTGGCTGGGGAGCATCCTGCCACTAAGTGGAAAAGCAGAGACCTGCACCCTATATACCCCCAGGCAGACTGTGATGCTGAGCTGCACATCACACCATAACCAAGTAAATCTTGCTTTCCTGCTGACCCGGGTCACTAATGAAATCTGTATCTTCAGCTCTGAAGCCAGTCTGCCAGTTCTGTCTCTCTTCTGAAAGATAGAGAACCTTGTCAGACCTAAATTTCCTACTCTGTAGACAAGGGAGTGTGTCTGGGCCAGTACTTTAGAAACTGGAGTCTCCAGGCAGTTCTGATGTCAAGAAGAATATGCACTCTCAGAGGGACAGGGGTCATGCTGAGGGTGAATACTTGAAGGAGCAGGCCCTAAACACATGCAGATGGGGGATACATACAGTCTTTAATAGAAATTACCAAATCAACCTGGAAAGAGGTTGTACTAAGTGACATCCCCAGCACCAATATGAAACAGGGTAGACTTCCCTGCATGCCTACCTTACTAGAATCCTGAATGGTTTCTTTTTATACTTTGATGATATGACAGGTGGAAATTCTTTCATTGTCATTATATTTAATTTGGTGTTCAGATAACTTAAAAAATTCCCTAGTATACAAAATGCTCTGATAATCATCATTGCATTATATTTTTATTGCAAACTGGTCCATTTTCATATGTAGCCTAAAAACAATGAGCAACAGGCACATTAGCCTGCAAGTTCTCCTAGAGCTACTGGTGGCATTATGGTTCCAGGGTGTGTTTGTGGCCTCTGGGGGATACTGATGGCAGTGTGTTTGTCTAGAAGATTAAGAACATCTCTCTGTGATATTAGTTGAATTCAGTATTAGAGAAGAGCTGGAGTCTTTTTAAATGACACAAGAGCTGGACCACAACATGCTTCTGAGCAGGCTGTAATACTGTCCCTGTGATGGAAAGCAAGCCTTTCTGTGATCTCACCTGCTCAAGTCAGGGTGGATCCCTCCAGGATGTAAGGTATGGCAGTCGGCCTAAATCTGCTTCTGAACACTGAAGCTGAGTGCTCCCATCTTCCTGACATCAGTTACAGAGACTGGAGAAGCTGCATCTTCTCAGACACCAAAACCATGGGTTCAGTCACCTGTGTGAGGAGCTTGGTGCTAGAAGATAAAATACCAGTACCTTTTTGACACATCGTGCATCTATCCATTCATCTGTCCATCCATTCATCCGTCTGTCCATCCATCCATCCATCCATCCCCATAGTTAACAGGCATTAAGGTCAAATGACACCATCCTTCTGGTTAAGCTTTAGACTTCCCCAGAATAGAAACAAGGAAGTAAGGGGGTTGTGGTGAACTCAGTTTCTAGACCTAAGAAGAGATGGCTCCTTCTCATTAATATTTCCATCCTGAGAGAGCCTCTTATCATTGATAATTTCATAACACAATTTAAAAACCCTGGACCCCTCTCTACAACCGTAGTTACTGTTCTCTTTACATATATTCTCCCATTGCAACCAAAGTTCTATGAAGAATTCTCAATACTCAACTCATCCCTTTATACCTCCCTCCACCTCAGTCCTCATTCCTCATCTAATGGTGCTTTGTTACCGCACCCCTCCACTGAAATGAACCCCATCAAAATCAACAGCCACGCCTTTGTCCCATTTATAGATCAAGACTGCTGAAATGAACATCTATCTGGAGACAAAGCTTCACCTGCAATGACAAAATTCAGTTGCTTTTGTATAGACAAAGATTTTATGGCAATGCTATATTTACCTAAAAGCTAGCATTGTAAAATGGCTTCCATAGAGTCAGTCAGATAATGTGAAGGCTGTGCTACAGGAACTGTGCTATCAATTGAAGTACAACATTTCCCCAACATATCCCATAATATTGCTTCAATAAAAGGAATGTTGCAAATAGATTTACTGCATGTTAGCAATATTTTTATGATCACTTAAATAAATTCTGTTTATTGTTTTCTTTCTTTCTGAAGGAATTACTAAGTATACAATGTAATCACCTGAAATTAAAATGTTGTTTCAAAATTTGTCATGGTTAAATATATTGCCTAAAAGCATTGTCTGATTGTTTAATATGCCATAATTAGGTAATATAATGGTGGTGAAATATAATAGTAGGGAGAGGGAACTCCTGCAATCTCCTGATTAGGTCAGAATTCTACTGCACCACACAAATTATAATGCTGGAATTCCTTTTGGAATGTTTCCATTTGGTAAACTATCCCAACTATATGATAAGTGTACATGATTCCATACTGAAATAAATAAGTGTTTCAATTGAAAAAGAAATGGATCAGAGAAGACAAATTGTCTCAATCAAATAATTCTAAATAATATATATATGGCTACCCCACAGTTCATGAGGTGAAGTTTAATTCTGTTCTCTACCTCCTAAGAACAGGGCTGACTTAGTGACTTACTTCTACAGAAAAGAGTATAGGAATGTGAAATAGTTACCACACACTGGAGAAATTTGGCAAACAGTACCTTAACCAAGTGATGAAGGTTAACATCACCATTGATATCATATGGGTAGCATGTAAACCCATATATGGTGTGATAAAAAGGGCAATTCATCTCTGTGGTATTCCTTCTGAAAACCCACAAACTCAGTCTAATAATGAGAAAAACAAGTTAAGCCTGTACTTCTCATGAAATCAGGCTTATGAAAATACTCTGGCCATACCTCAAATGGTTAACAGGGAGTTACCATATGACACAGCAATTCCACCCCTAGGTACATAGCCAAAAGAAATATGTCTACATAAAAACTTGTACCTGAATGTATACAGGATCATCATTCAAAATAGCTAAAGAGTGGAAAGAACCCAAATGCTCATCAATTGATACATGGATAAAATGGGGTATATTCAGCAATAAATATGGATGAGGTATTGATATATGCTGCAACACAGATTCTGAAAACATTATGTAAAGTGAAACAAGCCAGATGCAAAAGACCCAATATTGTTTGATTTCATTTATGTAAAATGTCAAAAACAGGCAAATCCACGGAGAAACAAAGCATATCTGTGATTGCCTAGGGTTGGGGGTGGGCACAGGGTTAACTGCATTCAAGCAGGATGGGTAATCTTAGGATGATTAAAACATCTGAAACTCAACTATGAAGTCCCAGCTACAGCAATCAGACAAGAGAAAGAAACAAAGGGCATCCAAATTGGAAAAGAAGTCAAATTATCCTTGTTTGCAGATGACATGATCTTATATTTGGAAAAACCTAGACTCCATCAAAAAACGATTAGAACTCACAAACAAATTCAGTATAGTTGCAGGATACAAAATCAACATACAAAAGTCAGTAGCGTTTCTATAGGCCAGTTAACAGTGAACAATCTAAAAAATAAATTTAAAAGTAATCCCATTTACAATAGCCATAAATAAAATTAAATACACAGGAATTAACCAAAGAAGTGAAAGACCTCTGTAATGAAAACTATAAAACACTGATGACAGAAATTAAAGATGACACCAAAAAATGGAAAAGTATTTCATGTTCATTGATTGGAAGAATCAATATTGTTAAAATGTCCATTCTACTCAAAGCAATCTACAGATTCAATACAATCCCTATCAAAATACCAATGACATTCTCCACAGAAACAGAAAAAAAATCCTAAAATTCATATAAAATCACAAAAGACCCAGAATACCCAAAGCTATCTTGAGCAAAACGAACAAAACTGGAAGAATCACAATACCTGACTTCAGAGCTATATCACCAAAACAGCATGGTACTGGCATAAAAACAGACACATAGACCAGTAGAATAGAATAAAGAACCCAGAAACAA